ACTAAAGCTTTTGAGGTTGATCCAAGAGGTTTTTGTCTCTTCTGCCTTCCCATGAGTTGAATCCTTTCTGTACCACAGTCCTCTGTGATGGATTTTAATAGCTATAGTGGGGCACATCAGACTGTTCTGAATATGGCTGTGGAGATCAGATGCTTCTGAACCCAGAAAAACCTTTTAGTGTAACGCACTGGTTACAGGGTCAAAGCCAGGCTGCCATCTGACTGGTGCTCTTGCCCTTCCCATCCAGGTTTGAAGAGCAGCTGCACCATTATCTAGCTGAGGACTTGGAGCCCCTTGGGGATCTCCTGGGTCTTCCTCTCTACCTCCCCCAATCTCTGCTCTCCACCCCAGCCACCACCTGCCCCTTGGTGAAGAGTGCTATGTCAGCTGCTCAGGAGGTAAGAGAAGGTGGTTCTGAGCTAAACAAAAGCTCTGAGGAGTGCAGTAGCTGCAAAACCTGTATTGGGAATTACCTTGGGAGAAAGTCTCAGTCTCATCTTTCCTTCTGCCCAGGCTGGGAGTCAGGAGGGACGCAAGGTTCCAGAGCTGGAGCAAAGCTCTGTGCTGTCGGACAGACTCAAACACCTGCAGCAGCTCCTCAGAGCCACCAAGGAGGCTGAGGCTGCCTCCAAGCTCCACCTCTCTGCTCTGGTGGACATGGTGGACATTTAAGCCGTGCTGAGACATGGAGACTCAGGAAAGAAATCCAGCTCCAGGTGATTGGGCAGATGGACTCCTGGGGCATGTTCCAGAACAAGCAGGCGTTCTCCTGGGATAAGAACATGGAACAGCCATGGGGCCTGAGCCCTTCTCACATGGCTGCATTGCACAGGGCCAGTGTGCATGGATGGTCTGAGACTCCCTCTTTTTCTGCCCCATAGGCATGGAAACAAGTAAAATGATTTTTCTTGGAAGGCCTTAAATGACAGTTTTTCTTTCTCCCAGCTCTTGTTGTGGGTAAACACAGCTTCATCATGTTCAGCTGTAGGGTAGCATGGGCCCCTGGGAACACTGGAGCAATTGCTCTACATAGGCACAATCTCTGAAATGTCTCAGTGTGTGTTTCCTTCATGCAGCAACTGCCTTGCAGCAGCACTGTGGTATGAAGTTCCTATTCTGTTTCCAGGAATGTCAGAACTGTCATTCTCAAGTTGGAACAGCACTTGGCCATGGTTTTTGTACTTCTTGTTGCTCAGTGCAAATTCAGAAGGATTTTTGTTATTCTGGGCTCAAGTTCTATTTTATTCAATGTTTTCAGCATTAAAAATAGGTGAGGTGCTTATTCCACAGATTCCATGTCATGCTGGAAAACAGCATGCTTCTTTCAGTCTTCAGTAAACAGCTACGGAGAAACAATTTTCCTTTTTTTTTGGAAGAGCAGATAGCCTGCATTCTCCAGCATTTAAAAACCTTTGGAAGGTGAAGGCCCTTGGTTTTAGTTTAATACCCAGTAAATAATTTGAAGATACAGTTCATGTCTGCAGTACTCCTATACAGTTCATCTTTTCCTTTTTCTTACAAAACCAGCAATTTTTTCTCAAACAGAGCCTTCTGCTGGTAGAATATAAATTACTGTACTAAACTGATTATCTTGCCTGCCCAACCCAAGCTGAAATCCTCAGTAGTCTGAAACTGTCAATTTGCCTTCCAAAAAAGTAATTTTACAGCTTTTTAAATTTCAGCATTTCATTTATATTATTTCTCTTAAACCCAAAATAGCAAGAGTAGCTTACTGCTAAGTTGAAATAAGTTAAAGTTGGAAAGGGTGTGCTTTGAGGCTGTTCCTGCTCCATGCGCTTTTGTTGGGCTGCGTTTTGTTGAGTTTAACTGGTTCCCTGTGAAGGGAAGCCTGTGCCCTATTTTTGATGTTCTCAGTTTACCTGGAATTCAGCTGTCAAAACCCAACAGAGCTTTGGGAGCATGTCTCATACTATTTGCTGTAAATTGTGTTTTGTACCTAATAAAATTTTTAGTTGCTTGAAAGGTGCCTCGTTCCTCTGTAAAAGCTCAAAACTCATGGTATGGGATGCTATCGAGAGGGAAGAGGGGGGCAGCTGTTGTCTGTTACCCGGGGAGGTTTCTGGGGTACCAGTGCGGGGAGCTGGTCTCGCTCCCGGCCTCCCGCATATCGTTTATCGGTGGATGGACGCCCCGTGGCAGCAGCAAAACCTCGACGAGGGTGGGATTCGAACCCACGCGTGCAGAGCACAATGGATTAGCAGTCCATCGCCATAACCACTCGGCCACCTCGTCTCGTCGCGCGCCGCCCCCTCCTCCATCCCGGAGACGGCCCGCCCCGCGCCCGTGAGGGTCCGGCCCCCGTGGAAACTGCCCGCCCCGCGCCCGTGAGGGTCCGGCCCCCGTGGAAACTGCCCGCCCCGCGCCCGTGAGGGTCCGGCCCCCGTCGAAACCGCCAGCTCCGCGCCCGTGAGGGTGCGGCCTCATGGAAACCGCCCGCCGCGGGGGCCAAAAGAAGGCCTCGGTAAGTGTCCGGACCGGGCGCACTGCGGAGCCACCTCGCATGGTCGCGGAGAGACAAAAAGAGACCCCCAAAAAAACCGCAAAACGTTGCCCTCTCTGAGGCTCGAACTCAGGACCTTCAGATTATGAGACTGACGCGCTGCCTACTGCGCTAAGAGGGCGTCGGAGCGAGTACTTCCCCTCGGGCCTCCAACGGGCGAGCAGGCGACGGAATCGGGACCGGGACCGGAGCCGGGACGGGCTCCGGGGCAGGGCGGGAAGGGACTGCGGCAGCCGCGGCAGGGGGCGGTAGGTCCCCGCGCCGGGACGAGGTGGCCGAGTGGTTAAGGCGATGGACTGCTAATCCATTGTGCTCTGCACGCGTGGGTTCGAATCCCACCCTCGTCGGGTTTTTGCTCCCACCCTCGGGGTGACCTCGGATTCTTGCGGCGCACGGGGACTCGGCGGGAGGGGGAGGGGAAATGGTACCCCGAAATGCCTGGTCTACCCTGGCACCTGTATCCTCCCCAGGAGCAAAAGTCACCCGTGCCCTGGAGATTTTGGGAAGGGGATGGCAGGAGAAATTGACGTAGTGTCTAAACGGCCAGCCACGGTCCTTATGTGGAAGGGCCCCCACTGGCACGAGGATGCTGGGTGTGGTTCTGGGTGACCTACCTGGAGAGGGATCCAAACAGCTCCCTTCTCCCCACGGGGAGATTCTCCAGCGGGGATTAAGCCCTCTCCTGTGGCTTATTCTGGCCATTGGGCACCCTGAGAAGATACTGAGATTCTGCCAGGTCCCTCCAGCCAGCCCTGCCAGGTGTAGGAGCCTGGAGGGTGGGCTATGGGCTGCGCAGCGAAGCCGAGGGAACAGATCCTGCTGCTTCTTGTGAGTTTTGCAGGTCCCATGGGGCAGGGACAAGAGCAGGTCCTGGGTGGGAGGGATGCCTTGGTCATTGCTACGTCCAGTGGAGGACCCTGGGGACCCTGAAAACAGCTTTAAGTAAAAGCGTGCACCCAAACTGCCCCCACGGGGCAGTGGGGATCCCCTAGCAGTGCCCCCAGCTTGGGCCAGGGAGAAAAGCAGCCTCCCAGACCCAGGCACCATTGGAAGTCGAATCTAGGATTCCTGTTTACTAGATAGGTGCTTTGACCAGCTGAGGCAGAGGTGTCCCATTGCCAGAGACACAGCCCATCCCAGCCCATCCGCATCTCGCTGCTAACTAAAAAATAAGGTCACGCTGCAGGACCAATGGCTTGGGACTCCAGGGGCAGGGCACAGCCCCGTGAGACGCTCTGTGTGCCACGCTAAGTTCAAAGCCCCGGCGCTGCAGGTGTCCCTGAGAGGTAAAAGTCGATGGCTGGGTCCCGTCGGGCTCTGCGCCAGCCAGGCGGGAGCAGGGTGGTGAGTCTCAAAAGAAGGGCTCGTCCGGGATTTGAACCCGGGACCTCTCGCACCCTAAGCGAGAATCATACCCCTAGACCAACGAGCCAGGGTGCACAGCTCTTTCCGCGCCCTTCCCTCCGCCGCCCCGCCAAAACGCAGCGCGGACGCCGCTGTCCGGGACCACGGCCCGCGCCCGCAGCCCCGCTGGGACACTGCGGCATGAGCGCTGCGCACATGCCACCCCCAGACATCCCGGACACCCGCACTCCGCACTCCCGCACACTGCCCCGCACCCCGCGTCGCTGCCTGCTCCGCTGGCACGGCCGTTACCCCGCCGCGGGGCTCGGGGCTGTGATGGCCGAGGGGTGAAGGCGTTGGACTCGAAATCCAATAGGGGTTCCCTGCGCAGGTTCGAATCCTGCTCACAGCGACAGGTTTTACCGAATGCCCTAATACCCCCCCACGGGGGTCCCGGGAGGAGCTGATATGGGAGTGTCATGAACAGCCAGAGCACCCCCAGCCCTATCCCTCTTTTCTCCCTCTGGAGCAACTCAATGCCCCAGGCAGAAACTTTGGTAGTCCCAGGATTCTCCAGGTTTTGCAGACGAGAGTTGGAACATGTCCCCAGGATGCTGCGTTCATTCCCCCTCATAGCCCTGTCCCATATCCCTGGGGGAGCAGTGTACCCTGCCTCATCAGTCTGGGTGTTCAGTTCTTGTTTTAGAGTGCAAGCAGTCCTGGATTCAGCTCTTGGATGAATATGCTTATTTGGCATCCACTACCCTCCTCCTTCTGAGCTGCTCCCCCCAGCATTGATGTTCACCCCAAGAGACACCCTGAACCCTGTGGGGAAGTTTAAAAAAGGCCTCCTATGCCCTGGAGCCTCCAGGCAGGGTAGGAGAAGAGCCATGAGATTTTTATACAGCCTTGGGATGCCAGGACACAGCACCAGGCCTTTCCTGGGGAGCTCTGTCAGCCCTGCAACCAGCAGGAAGGGGGTAGAGAAGGCAAAAGGACATGGAGGTGCTGGGAGTTGATCTGAGCTACATCAGTCTCCTCCAGCAGCATTTGCTGCTAGTCCTTTGGAGTCCGAATGCACCCAGCCAAGAAAAGGTCACCCTCAGCACTGGACATGGTGGGTGGCCAAAAGTAAGGGCTCGTCTTAAGACTTGAATCCAGGACATCTTGCACCTATAGCAAGAATCATACCCCTAGACCAACGAGCCAGGGTCCAGCCCCTCTGTTCCTCACTCTGCATCACCCAGACCCTTTTGGGGGCTTGGGAGCAGACAGGGCTCTGTGTGGCCTCTCACACTCTGGGAGCAGGGAGGTGCCTCTTGCTGTGGCCATGAGATGCCAGGTCCAGCACCTCCCACCCCAGCACCTCTTTTTTCTCCCCAAAGCCCCTTACTGGCCATTTGCAGCAGTTGCAATGGCCAGTGCATTTTCTTCCACCTTTCTCCATGGAGCATCCTGCAAAGGCGATCCCCTGTGAGCAGTGTTTGTCCTCAGTAGCAGCAAATGGCTGTGCCTGTGTGTGCCAGGGGCTGTCAGTGCATGGCGTGCTTTTGATGTCCTGTTATGGGGGGCCCTTTGCTGTTCGTGCATGGGGGCCTGTTTGGCGTTTTCTTTTTTTCCCCTCTCCTCTCTGTCTGGAATTTTTTCCCATTGACATGTTAAGATGGCCAGTGCAGGGGGAGGGGAGAATCCCTGTCTCTTTCTTGGAGTTTCTTTCGCAGGGCGAGGGGGGTAGGAGGGGAGGGGGGGTAAGAGGGGGAAACACCGCGATATCCAGGGGCAGTTAAAGGAGAGGTTTGGGCAGTCGCTCTCGCTCTCTCGCTCGTTTGGCTCGGAGAAGGATGGTCGCTGGAAAACCTCGCCCCGCCACACCGACGTCGGGAGCTGCTCTTCCTCAGCTGTGGGATCCCGCAACCCCCCTGCTCGGACGCTCTCCCGCATCTCCTGCCAACTCCAAGCATCCTGTTGGAGCATCGGGACCGACACTGCCCCAAGATCCGTGAGCATCGTCTCTCCTCCATCCCCTCCCGTCTGGGCCCAATCATCATCACCCCCAGCTTCCCTCGAGCCATGTGGGATCACCGCATCTCCCCCTGCTCACCGGGAGCTGGCTGGCGCTGCCTGCCAGCTAGAACGGTAATTGCACCACAGAGGAAAGGTGTCCATAACGGAAAGAACTGTTACTGGTTTCCTATTCTGTTTGTTGTAAATTTCGTAGTTGTTTATGTTTGCCTTGTTTTTTATATATATATATCTATATCTATAGATATAGATATATCTCTATATCAGTAAAGAACTGTTTTATAATAATTTGGAGGGAGGGGGGGTTTACACTGTCCATTTCAAAGAGAGGCTTCTGCCTTCTAAGCAGACACCTGTTTTTCAAACTAGGACAGGACCCTTTGCTGTCCGTGTCTGAGGGCCCTTTGCTATTCTTGCATGGGGGCTCTTTGCTGTCTGTGCCCGGGGTGCCTTTGCTGTGCATGCATGGGGGCCCTTTGCTGTTTGTACATGGGGTCCTGCAGTGCTGGGGAGGTAGAGGTAAGGGGGGAGTACAGTGAGCAGAAGCTATGCACCCTGGCTCGTTGGTCTAGGGGTATGATTCTCGCTTAGGGTGCGAGAGGTCCCGGGTTCAAATCCCGGACGAGCCCTCTTTTGGGCATCCAGAGCCCCGCTGCCACCCGGCTGGTACCCCCAGCAGCGGTGGTCAGCCCAAGAGACACCATGAACCCCGTGGGGAAGAGACACTGGGTGCCTCCACGTTCCACAGCACCTGGGTAGGGAGGGCAATCTCCACGGGCATTTCCTTGCTGCCTGCCTTGGGGTACCAGGAGGCAATCCCAGGTCAGCCGTGCCTACAGGCAGCCCTAGGGATTTTTTTGTGGGGGGATCTGCGGGCGTCTGGCTGCCCTGCATCCAGCAGGGAGGAGTCTGGAGAGGCAAAAGGACATGGAGATGCTGGGGGTCGATCCCAGGGCCTCTTGCATGCAAAGCAAGCGCTCTCCCGCTGAGCTACACCCCACTGTGCAAGAGCAAGGGCGGTTGGCCAAGCCCTTTAGGCTACACTCCACCCTCCCCACTGCTGCTTCCGAAGCGCTCCTCCTGTTTTAGGGAGCTGGCCACCCAAAACCCTGTGCCCCATTCCTGCCCTACAGGCACTGCTTCCTGCCCTCCACCCCCTGCCCTGGCCTCACCACATTCCAAGGCACGTGGGTGCCCAAAAGAGGGCTCGTCCGGGAGTTGAACCCGGGACCTCTCGCACCCGAAGCGAGAATCATACCCCTAGACCAACGAGCCCGCTGGTACAACTGCGCAGAAAACCCTTTTTTCACTTCGAGTACTCACAGAACCGCCTGTCGTGAGATGGGACCTGTGGGAGCTTTCTTTGTCTCTGACAGATGGTCACCGTTGAGAGGTCACCCTTATTCTTCCCCAGCTGTGGGGATGTCACCTGGGCATGTCACCTGGGCATATGTAGCAGGTTGCTCTGCCTTAAATGGGGGAAACAAACAATGCTCTATTTCCCAAACTATCAGTGTTAAATGAAGAAAATGGGGTCACGTTGCTTTTGGTATTGAATAAAGCTGAAACCAGCCTGACTCATCAATCCCAAATTTAAACATTCTGATAGTGAGATGAAGATATAGTAGAACTGGTAAAATACCTGGATAAAGGAACAAACAAGTAATATTACTGATAACTTTACTAAAGCTGTTGAGCAGGCACAGCTGGTCTGGACATATCTTGCTCACAGTCCATCCTTTTATACTATAAAAGTATAAAAGTCCCAAATTTGAATGGCAGGATTTTCTGACAAATCCTTTCTTGAAGTGTATGTGTGGAGATTCTCCCCTGGAGTGGAGACACTCCTCAAGGTCACTCCTTAAGGCTGAGCCAAAGAGATTTGCCCTTAGTCATTGGTCTGGGTGAGAAACATCAACCTCTACTTAATAATTGGTTTTGGTAGCTTTAATACATTTTCTTTAATAGAATTGCTTCAATATTCCTTCACAGTGCACTATATTGTAACAGTTGTTATAGTGCCCATATTGTGTAGTATATAATTCTGATTAAGATCTTTTTTGTCTAATCATCATAATAAATAATATATATATGTATATCTGCTTTATTTTTAATCCTGCAGGATAAAGCTGTATAAAGCTTCTACTACACCTATACAATATTTTAGAGATGAACCACTGATGAAGTCTGCAGCTAAGGCTGGATCCAGCCACACCCAGGCTCCTCTTGGAAAAGTTTAGAAAGCCAGGGGTTCCTCTCTGCACCTCATGATTCAGTGGGAGTTTCTAAACTTCATCTGAAGCTGCCACTCTGCCCAGCACAGCATGGCTATGGGCTGAACCCGTCTGGTTTTAAAATGGGGCCACGAGGAGCAGAGGGGGTCAGCAAAACCCCCAGGTGTGGAGAGCCCAGACAGGGGATGTAGCTCAGTGGGAGAGCGCTTGCTTCGCATGTAAGAGGTCCTGGGTTCAACCCCCAGCATCTCCAGCTTTTTTTCCCCTCTTCAAACCCACCTCCTCCACAGGCCAGTGATGATAAACTCGCATCTACCTCTGGAAGATCTCCCCAAAGGTGGAGGATGCACCATGGCAGAGCTTCCCCCTGAGGCTGCAGTGGCAGCATGGCCCCCACTCAGCTGTCTCCCACTGCCCTGGAAGCTCCTTCCCAACCCAAGAGTGGACCAGCCCTGACCATGGCTGAGCTGTGCCTGTGCTCACAGGCATCTGGCAACACCGTGATCCTGGCAGTGATGGGACTATCCTAGCCCAGGGGCTGCACAGCTAGGGAGGCTGCCTGTGCCCTCTGTGCCAGGCAGTGGCCCCCCATCCTTGCCCTGACACCGCAGAGGCCATGCCTAGCCACAGGTGCCCAAAGTCATCCAGGAGCTGAGCCTAAAAGTCCACAAGCCCACCACTGGCCCAGTGCAAGAGCACTGCACCCTCCCTGTCTACTGCTCTCCAGGGATCAAAATCCTGAGGGAAGGGGTCACCCTGGCACCCCACCCCCGTATGGCTGTGGGTAAAACCTGTCGCTGTGAGCAGGATTCGAACCTGCGCAGGGAATCCCTATTGGATTTCAAGTCCAACGCCTTCACCCCTCGGCCATCACAGCCACTGGTATCCCCTGCCAAGGTGAGGACAGCCCGGCACATCCCACTTTGCCTCAGCTTATGCCATCCCCCAGCCTGGCATGGTACTCTGCTCAGCCTCAGTACCCACACCTGGAGGGTTGGGAAAAGGGAACATGCAAGGATATTTACTGATGGCTGGAAAAAATTCAGGTGCCTTGGCCATGAGACAGGCAGCACAGGGAAGCATCCTCCAAGGATGCCCAGGGATACAGCAGCTCTCGGAGGGAAAAAGACATGGAGATGCTGGGCGTGGATCCCAGGGCCTCTTGCAGGCAAAACACTCTCCCGCTGAGCTACATCCCCTTGTGCAAGGCAGCGAGAGGGCCTGGCTGAGTCTCCTCATCCCTGAGGCACACATTGCCAGCCTCGGGGGTCCATCCCGCCCACCCAGACAGAAAGGGGCACCCAGCCCTCTGTGCTAGGACCCTGGTTATGCCACAGTCCCATGTGCCAAAGAAGGTAAATGCCCAAAAGGTGGGCTGATCTAGGAGCTGAATCCAGGATCTCTCACACCTTTAGTGAGAATCATGCTCCAGATCTGTGCCCCAAAATTCTGGGATTTGAGCAGGGTGGCTGATGCTGCCTTTTTCCCCTTGGCAGAGCCTGAAACAAGGAAATCCATCTTACAGTGCCCAGGAGTTGGGGCCAGCATTTGTAGGTGTCCATGGTGCATAACTTCCCTAGATCCAGTGGCCATAGGGCCACGTGGATTATGAAGACAGCAGGGACTCTCGGGCACAACCCCTGCCCACAGGGGTATGTAGCTTCAGCGGGAGAGCACTTGCTTTGCATGCAAGAGTCCTTGGAATCAACCCCCAGCATCTCCATGTCCTTTTGCCTCTCCAGATCCCTCCCTGTTGGAGGGGGTCCCCCAAGATCCCCACAAAAAATGCTGGTGCTGTCTGAGGACATGGCAGGCCCAGGAGTGGGAGGGGGACAGCAGTGGTGCACAGTGGGTGCCCACACCCCATGCCAGCCCCCTGAGCTGCCACACTCATCCTGGCCAGCCCCAAGCTGCAGTGACTGGAGGGGAACAAGGAGAAGACCCCAGAGGGC